ACATCCCTGTAAAAGTTCATTTTAGCACAGAAAAATTTAAATTTGAAAATTTATAGAAACCCTGTTCTGGCTTCTCTGGTTTTTCTTCAACTCCTGGCGTAGGTAAAACTGTAGTTTTTCCAGGTTTAATTCATTACTGATTGTTTTAACTCTTTGATTCCAGACATAAGAGATGTAATTGGTTATAAACCACACTAAATCTATCTCTAAACCACCTGCAATCACCAGGTTTAATAATTCTAAGTCACTTAAGGCTCCATTTACAGGATGAATGTTTATCATCTTCCTTCTCATCCAGGCCCAGGCAACCTGCACTCTCCTGCAGGTGCAGAACAGGTGCTCCCGGTCCTCTACTCCATCTCCTTCCTCACACAGAGCATCCTTTCTCATCCCCATCCTCAGCAATTACAGATTCTTCACCTTAACCTTCTCCAACTCCTCAGGGTTCACCAGCTCCTCTATAAATGCATCTTCCAGGAGCTTTCTGAAGTGATGATAGAATGGGGGAACCCTTTCACTGTGGGACCAGGCCTCAGATCAGGGATATATCCACCCAGATACATGCCTATCTAATACTTTACATGCTTCCTCCCCCTCCCCCTCCCCCCTTCCTCATCCAGGATCCTGCAGGATTGTTTGATGAACAAGGAGTCTACCTTGGTTCTTATATCCACCATCCCAAGACCCCCTTCCTCAGGAGGATTATAGATCTCCTGCAGGGCCAGCTTCTCCAGCTTTCCCCTCCACAAGAACCTGAAGATGATTCTCTCAAACTGAGCAGCATAAACTCCAGGAAGGGGTAGAGCTTGAGCCTTGTAAACAAGTTTAGACAGAATATAAATCTTTAAACAATCAACTCTCTGATGTAGAGTGTCCAGGGCTCTCAGCTGAAAACTCATGATAACATTCCTGATGGACTCAACCAGGGTGCTCCAGTTCCTGTTCAGGGTCTCCTGGTAGGTCTGGAGAACCTGGAAACCAAATATCTTCAGCTCTAACACAGTCTGCAACCAGGGCAGGGGCCAAATCCTTCTCTCCTTCTAACCTTCTAACCCCATCACCTTACTTTTGTTTGTCCTGGATAAAACAGCTCCAGAGCAAGCCTCAAATTCCTGGAACAGTATGTCAATCTTAATGAAATCCTCCTCCTTCTCCACCATGGCCTATACATCATCAGCATAGTCCTCATCCTTCTGGGAGAAATCAGTTATTTTTACCCCTTGAGTAATTTCCTCAAGTCTCAGGAGAAAGGGCTCCATGTAGAAGATATACAGTAACATGGCAATTGGATCACCCTGTCTTATAGAGAAAGTTAAACTAACTTCAGCAGTTAACTTGTTCATGATACACCTTGTTGTAACTCCTGTGTGCATATCAAGGATCTGTTGGATAAATTGTTGAGAGAAATTCATCCTTTTAAGCATATATATATGGAATGTAAGCCCTGTCAAAGGCTTTGTCCATATCAAAGCTAAGCAAAGCTGCTGACAACTGCTTTTGGTTTACATACTCTATGGTTGAAATGACATTATGAAAACCTGACAGAATGTTTCTTTTTTTCCTGCTGCAGAGCTGACTTGACTTGGTCAAGGACTCCATGTTGTCCACCACCCTCCTGGTCAACATCCTGCTCTTGATGGTATAATCAGTGTTCAACATTGTAATAGGTCTTAACTGCTCTACTCTTGGAATCCCCCTAACCTTAGGAGCTAATCTTGTCACCCCTCTCCTCATACTTGACAAGATTTCTCCTCTTTCCACCATTACATTCTGGATACTAAGATATTCATTCTTGATTACAGGGAAAATCTTCTTGTAGAGCTCATTGTTAAACCATCTATTCCAGGACTCTTATTATTGGGTAGATTACAAATCACCAACTCCAGTTCCTCCATAGAGAAATGTAAATCCAAGTTCTCTTTATTAATCTCTTTCAACCTTCCCAAACTAGGTGGGATGAAAGTTTCAACCAAGTTCTCATTCATCTGAAAGGGTTGATCTCTTCCTTGCCTGCCATTCAGAAGAGGTTCAAAGAACCCAAGAATCTCCTGTTCACACAATTCTGCATCCTTCTCCTCCACCCCTCCAATCAACAATTTCTCCACATTATTCTCCTCAGATTTCTTCTTCTCCCTAGCCAGGTGAAATAAGCTACCTTTCTCCTTCTCCATGTTCTCCTTGAATCTACTCCTCACCTTTACTCCTTCTGCTTCTTCCACCAGTATTGTGTTAATCCTATCCATAAACACCCGTGAATACTCAAACCCATCCATCCCCATCTCCAAACTCTCCCTCAGCAACACATAGAACCCCTCCTTGGTCTGCTTCCTCTCCCTAGCCTGCTCCACACTGAACTGCTTGAGGAAAGAAGTAACAAGGGGCTTAACACAGTTCTCCCACCACTCACAGATATCAGGATAGGTTGAAATTTGAAGAGTACATCTTTGATAAACATCCTTGAAATTTGGTAAGAAATCTTCAGATTCAAGGATCTTATTATTCAATTTCCAATATGGTTTTCTTCTCCTCCCCCCATCCTGCACAGTAGTTACTCCACCCACCCTCAGAACTAGAGTCATACCAGTATGATCTGAGAAAGGAGCAGGAACTAATTCAATTTCTCCACAATCTGCAACCTTACCCCCAGGGACATAGATCCTATCCAACCTGGAAGCTGAGTTATTCCTGATAAAGGTGTATACAATATTGTTAGGATAAACTTCTCTATATATATCAACATACTTGTACAAATTGATCAACTGTCTTAGAGCTTCACATTTCTTCTGTTGAGGATTGTTAGCAGCATCTTTATTTTCAAGGATACAATTGAAATCTCCAAGGATCACAGGAAGATTTCTTGAATAACTTCTCACCAATCTCTCCACAGTCTCTCCAAAGAACACCTGTCTTTCTCTCCTCCCCTGCCTGCCACTGGCTGCATACAGATTAATCACCACCATTTGCCCCACCACTAGACACATCAACCTCTCCTCCTCCACCGCCTGCACATCCACCACCCCAAGAACCTTCTCCAGATGAAAGCTGTTCCCCTTGAGTTCCTTTCTCCAACCTGTACATTTGACAGAGCTCTATATTCCACTCCAACTATCATCTCCAATTCCTCAGTCTCCAGGTTGCATTCCTGAATCCCAAGGATATCAGTCTTACTCCTTCTCAAGAAATCAAGTAGTCCTGCTCTACTAACAGGTGTTCCCAAACAATTTTCATTCAGTGTAGCAATTTTCAAATCCATTAGGCTATCTCAAAGTCAGGGTAAGATATTACTAACTAGAATTTTATTTTTTAAATGACCTGGTTGCAAGATTTACTTTCAATCTATCAGCTGGAGTAATTATGGGAACCCTAGGAACTGGAACATTCATGGAATCTGTACTTTCTCTCCTCCTATCTCTTTCTTCTCCCAGTTGTACAGGTTGTAGAGATGAGGATCCAGCCTTAATTTTCTTTGCAGTCTCAGGAAGAGAAGATGAGGAAAGATTACTCTGACTCCTCTTCTCCCTCTGTCTCTCCTTCTTGTTTAACATCCTCTCTGCATCATCCATAGCCTGGTTCAGCATTGGAGTATGACCAGGGGAGAAGAGAGAACCCTCAGGTGCATGCTCACAATCCTGAGGTGTTAAGAGAAACACATCCTCACCATTATCTTGACCAACTCCACCTGCCAGAGCCAGTAGAGCCAATCCTTCAGGAACTAAAGTCTCAGGTTCAGTAACCACAATCATAGGTAACTCATCATCTCTACCTCCACCATCCTGTTCCCTGTCATTGTCATTTTCTTCTCCATCTTCATCCACAGCATCAGCATTAACATCTTCATCACCCCCTCCATGAACACTAGGTATAGGGTTGTATAACTTATTCCTGTTATCTCTCTGCTCCTGGATAAATTCCTTATTAATGGGACTTCTACAATCTCTAGTCATGTGACCTGGTGCCATGCATTTCCAACATGAATCCTCCTGCCCCTCATAATAACAGACCCATACATCACCATCACCAGGTTCAGGCATCAGTCTAGGAATAGGATGAAACAATTTCATTCTAAGAAGAAAGTCTCCAGATGCTGCTCCCCCAGCTCCACCTACTCCCTCCATCTTAGTTCTAAACTCCTTACAGGAAATTACCTCTCCATAAAATCCCAGAATGTTAGAAATCACACCTTCCTCAGTTCCAGGAAATACTCCCTTCAGCTTAACTTCTGTTTAGGAGTCAGTACACAGGAAAGGTGCAACATCTCCTTTCCCAGTCCAGGTTACACCATCCTTGATCCTATCCCAACACTCCAGCAATAACTCCTCTGATGGCAGGCCAAAATAGGGTGGATTTGAAGACTAGTCATATTAGCAGGTCTAATCTCGCAATCATCCCTAAGAAATCTCACAAACTCCTCCATCCTTATACTCCTAGTTCCTCCAATAGTGTCTACATCAAATCCAATGGATAGTTTTCTTTTAAAGAAAGACAGACCAGGATACAGTCCTAGACGACTCATGATTAGGAGAATCGAACCAGACTTCACTTTAACTAGAACCTACTACTGGAGCAGAAAACCTCTGACTGACTGTTTCGTCTAGCGAACCCGGGACTTCGCACACCGGAAGCGAGAATCATACCCCTAGACCATCAAGCCAGACATGGTTATGGAGGGGGGTCACAAGGAAAATTTATCATTGAGTGGGAACTGTTTGTCATAGTGAAAATGCAAGCAAAGAGTCGGACTTCTCGGTTAGTATGAGCACAAGGTTTGCATCCTCTGAACAATTTTTTCCATTCGTGGAGAGGCTACATGTTGGAATGGCTATTTGTGGAATCATAATAATAATGTGACTCCATGGCGCAACGGTAGCGGGTCTGACTCCAGATCAGAAGGCTGCATGTTCAAATCACGTCGGGGTCATTGTTTTTCTCCGAGTAACCTTCTTTTTGATGAATTCTTTACGTTAGAATTAATTTTGACGTCCCTTTCTACCACTGGAAATGCAACTGTGGCTAAGTGGTTAAGGCGTCTGACTCGAAGTCAGATTCTCTTTGGGAGCGCAGGTTCGAATCCTGCTGGTTGAGATATATTTTTGTATACTTTTAGTATTTGAATTTATCCTTTGGGGATTATAGATATATGTTTAAAAAAGTAAATGTGTCCATAGAGAACAAGGCAGTTTGACCAAGTGGTCTAAGGCGCTGGTTTTAGGCACCAGTCCAAAAGGGCGTAGATTCGAATCCCACAGCTGTCAAAACTTTTGCTTGTCCATTTCTGTTAAAATTCATAAAAATATCTGGAGATGTCTGGGCCTTCTAAATGCGAATCAGACGCTCTACCACTGAGCTACATCCCCATTGCTGTCCATGGGGAAGGTGATTTTTACAAAACCCACTGATGTAAAATTTAAACAGGTGTGATCAAGATCTTGAAATATCTTAATATTGTTTATAAATCATTCATGTTTTGAAATCAATCAAAACAGAAAATAGTTTTGGTTTCATAGAAAAAACGTTGAAATGTCTCAAAACCATTAGATGTGTTCCAAGCGTGTGTTTGTGCTCAAAGTGTGAATTTGCATCAATAATGTATCATGTTCCAAAATGAGATCATTAATATATTCATTACTAATATTAAGATTGTTTGCCTAAAAATTGATAATACAAATCATAATTGGAGGGTTCGAATCAATAAGACTAGAAAAGGTGGCAATGAGATTTGAAGTGATTCTGTTGTTGTGTGTGTGGAGAATATTAGCAAAAAAGAAACATAATAAAACAAAAAAACCAGAACAAACACATGAAACTGCATTTATTTCACTTTAACCTAAATGTATCACCATTATAAATATATGGTTTGTCTATATCATTGAAAATGAAAAAGTCACTATTACGAGACATGAACACAGCTGTACTGAATGTGTAAACATATTCTTCTGTGCAACCTGTCATACAGGGGTCCCAATAAACATATGAATCAAGAGACAACTTCAAAATTGTCTCTGATTTCCAACTATTGACAAACGACGAAGGGTGTAGTGAAAAAAGATTGTACATCAAACTGGTACGCCTTCATTGTGGATCTAGAAATGACAGAGATATTTAAACATTTAAACAATGTTGTTAATAAATTTTCCCAGTTTGCCAATTTTCAAGGTTCAATAATGGTAGACCACATTTTGGAGATCCCATGACCAAAAGTGTCTTGGTATCAAATGGTTTAACTGGAATCCAAATCAGGGCAGCTTTTAATCTCAATTGAGAGAGCTAAAATAAATAAGATCTATTACATATCAAGAAAATGCAGTGCTGGTGTAGTGGTATCATGCAAGATTCCCATTCTTGTGACCCAAGTTCAATTCCCAGGCGGTGCAGGATCTTTGCTACCAATCTTTTTTAACCGAGCTCGTTGGAAAACGGGCAAAAATGCCTCCAGAGAGGATTGAACTATCGACCCCTGGATTACAAGACCAGTGCTCTGCTACTGAGCTATAGAGGCAGGATTCAAACTTGCGAGGGGAAACCCCATTGGATTTCAAGTCCAACGCCTTAACCACTCGGCCTTGACTGCTACACATTGGATGCAGTGTTTTTTGCTAAAGCTTGTGTGGGTCACAAAACTTTCCTCACAAAAATTATGCTCCAGGTGAGTCTTTTTTTTATCTTTTATTACAATAAGAATATGTACAAATTTTGGTTCATAAAAAATTTTCAAACCAAAATGGTACAAAATCATATATTTGAAATACTGTTCGTGAATTTAAATACTAATTTAAGAATTTAAAAGTCACAAAACCTCTTATACATATGTGTTTAAGTTCAAAGCCAACAAAAACAGAGGAAAAAAAAAATTACATTCTTTGTAACATTTTTTGTACCAGTACTGTAGAACTTATTAGTGAGGACATAAAAATACACTTTTTAACAAGTTAAATTAATTGATCATGAGCTACAGGTTTTTAAACATCCCTGTAAAAGTTCATTTTAGCACAGAAAAATTTTAATTTGAAAATTTATAGAAACCCTGTTCTGGCTTCTCTGGTTTTTCTTCAACTCCTGGCTTAGGTAAAATTGTTGTTTTTCCAGGTTTAATTCATTACTGATAGTTTTAACTCTTTGATTCCAGACATAAGAGATGTAATTGGTTATAAACCAAACTAAATCTAGCTCAAAACCACCTGCAATCACCAGCTGTTTCATAATTCTAAGTCACTTAAGCTCCATTTACAGGATCATTTTCCTTCTCAACCCTGGCATGTCTCTTGTACTGTCTATAAGTACCATGCGCTTACCGATTGCACCACCGAAGCTTGGTGCCATAGCAGGCCAGCCAACAGATGAAAAACCTCTGCTATCCTTGATATGAAGGCAAAAATATGTCACATGGAGATGCTGGGGATCAAAATCATATCTGCTAGGTGTGGGGTTCGAACCCACGCAATCTTACGATTATGAGAGCTTAAATCTCACGCCTTAGACCACTCGGCCAACCTAGCTGTTGGGTGAGGTTCAGGAAACAAAGTTCACAACTGAACCAGTGTACTGCTTTTTCTTAAAAAAAGGACTTGCGAACCATGCAGCTTTAACAAAATAGTTTGCCTTCTGTGAGGTTTAAACTCACACCCCCTGGTTTGCGAGACCAGTGCTCTACCACTGAGCTAAAGAGGCATTTGCAATAATGAAGTTCTCCTCACCCAACTCTACCCTATTCCCTCAAAGAGTGTTCACGGTCCTTTGACATGTTGAGAGTCCTTGCCACAACCCAGGTAAAATCTCACACACTGGTAAATTGAGACCAAAAAGGTGGACTTGACCAGGAATTGAACCCGTGACCTTACGCACCCTAAGTGTGAATCATACCCCTAGACCATCAAGCCAGACATGGTTATGGAGGGGGGTCAGAAGGAAAATTTATCATTAAGTGGGTCAGGAACTGTTTGTCTTAGTGAAAATGGAAGCAAAGAGTCGGACTTCTCGGTTAGTATGAACACAAGGTTTGCATCCTCTGAACAATTTTTCCATTTGTGGAGAGGCTACGTGTTGGAATGGCTATTTGTGGAATCATAATCATGTTACTCCATGGTGCAATGGTAGTGTGTCTGACTCCAGATCAGAAGACTGCTTGTTCAAATCACGTTGGGGTCATTCTTTTTCTCCGAGTAACCTTCTTTTTGATGAATTCTTTATGTTTGAATTATTTTTGACTTCCCTTTCTACTACTGGAAATTCAATTGTGGCTGAGTGGTTAAGGCGTCTGACTCAAAATCAGATTTCTTTTGAGAGTGCAGATTTGAATCCTGACGGTTATGACATACCCTAGAAACCATTTTACGTAACTAACGTTAAATCATAGCATAATGTAACTTTTCGTAACGTACCAACAATTGTAACGTAACAGAACATTAAGGGGTAAATGTTATCTACCCAGCTATCCAAATTGCGTAAGCATCGTAAAAGCATAATATTTTGGCTCCAATTACGCAATTAAAACGCAAATTTGCGTAAGTCTAGATTTCAAAGTAGTGTAAATATCTAATTTTTCTAAAGTAAATATATTATAACCCAGCTTTAAGTAAAAATATCATGAAATTGTGGAGATGTGTATCATTTTATTTCAGGTATACAAATTGCGTTAAAATACGCTCAATTTGCGTAATTGCCTAAAACTCTAAATCTAAATTATTTGTGAAATATTTAAAATTTCCGATACGGCACATATTGCATTTTCCAAAATAAATTGTAAAAATAAACTTTTAAAATAATTGAAATGGTCTTTGTTAGCATTAAAATTGCGTAAAAATTGCGCTCTTTTTAGGCATATGTTTTGAGTGTTTTAGATATTGAAGAATTGAGTGGCCTAGGTGTGTGTGCACTGCAGTGTGCAGCAATATAAAATGTTATATTAAATAGAAAGCCATGTGATTTGTAGATAAAAACAATATTCAAGCAAAGAAAACATGCCTATATGATTTTTGTATAAAAATGAGACATGACAAATAGAGAAGAAAAAAATAAAATCATTCTCCTTAAAATCCTTCTTTTTGTTTACATTTTAAAGCAAAGAAGAAAAGATTTTGCGGATTTTAAAAAACAAATCGCGGATTTTCAAGAATTTAATTTTTTTTACAAAATTAAAAACCTTTAAAACACATTTTTTAAAAAATTTTTATCTTTCATAAACCTTCACTGTGGTTACGTCATGTCCCACAAAAAAATTGGGCCCGATCGGTTCAGCCGTTTTCACGTTTATTGGATACAAACAAACAAACAGACAAACAGACAATCCAAATTTATATATAGAAGATTGAAGAACTGAAAACTGTTAAAATATTTATTTTACATAAATGAACTTAACGTGAAACAAGTGATTTTTAAATATAAATAATCTATTGGTTTTGTAGGAGCACCAGTTTTGAAAGCTTTTGACGCAATCCATTTTTCTTTACATTTTGGTTCATCTCCTTGGCTAGGTGCTTTAAGAGGAGAGTGCAGTAGGAGCTGCAAATTTTTTTGAGAAGTTCATATTTGTGCATTGCTTCATGATTGGCATTCTTTAGAATTTCTGGATGTTGGGTTGTGAGAGTATAGATATCACTTTAACACATAAATAATGAAGAATGTTTTTATTGTAAAAAAGATTATTATTATTAATGTATTGATATTTATGAAAATGACTGTAGTCTAAATCAAAGTAAGATATCCAATATTTTCATTAAGAAAAAAAATAAAAGTTAACATTCCTGAAGCACGGTTGGGTTGTTGTTTGATCCTAGTCTGGCTCTTATGCAACCAAAAAACGTCTCCAGGTGATCTTGGGACAACTTGAAGGTAAGCAAGTAATTCAATGGTCCATTGTCCACAAAGTGTTTGAAAATGGATTTCACTGCCTGCATATTTAAAAGAAATCCAAGAAACCCTGACTTTCGACGTCCATTAATCAAGCATTTTCCAGTTGAATCTTTTAGTCCCAAAATGTAGGTCTTTGCTGTTATAAAGGTATCCTGCCAGTATCCAAGATTATTTTTAGAAATAGGAGCTTTAGCCCAAATTCCAAACTTAGATTTGATGTTGAGGAGATCAAACAACTCATCAAACATTCTCAAAAATTTGGATGTAGCTTCACTTTCTTTAAATTGTGGAAGATTTAGATCCTCTCTACAAAAATCCAATGCAGATGCAGTACTTCTGCTGAAAACGTGAACTGCAAGTTTGACCTTCATCTTGTTGTTTTGCCAAAAGATTGTATCTGCTGTTATTTTGTTGGCAAAATGAAATGTTGACTTATTCTGGATAGTAAAGAGCTCAACAATGAACCTCCATTCGATTTTTCCTCCATCACCATCATATAGAACACCCAGATCAGAGAATGCATTTCGCACATTCTTAATACAGTGACAATTGTCCAACAGTAAATTCACAGGTTTTTCAAATTCATCAAAACTGATCTGACTATTCAGTTTTTCTGGATCTACTGAAGCTCCTAATGTCTTCAACAAAGAGATATTCACAGCTGGAGCATCAAAAGTTACTGAAGTAATTTGAATCCCACAGTCAGCAAGCTTTTGTAAACAAACTGTAACAAGATTTGCACAACCTAAAGAATAATAAAAATCATCTGCAAGAAATAAGAAATATGAATAAAATGCAGAAAAGGGATTCTTTCTGGATCAGCTTCCAAAAAATTTCAAAGAAAGAACTGATTTTCTACACTGTATTTTTAAATGCATTTTTTTTAAATCTTACATTTTCAGTTGTTCAGAAAGTTAACAGTATGTTTCTAAAAGCGGTTCAAAGGTTTTAAAATGTTTTTAGCTTTAAAAAACTTGCCTGCACTGTCTAATCCATTTATAAAAAAGTAGCCAAGTGGAACCTTCCAAAAACTGTTCACAGCTACCAGCATAAACACCAGGGCATCACTTGCAAGTTTTTCATCATCTCCAACCTCCCGTTCATCTCCTAGATCTACCACACCTTGGTACTTTTTTCCGTCAAAGAATAGATGTTTCTTAATAGACATTTCATCTAAGGTTATACTTCCAATAACATTTCTTCCTTCTTGAACTTCTTTCTTCAGGAACTCAAAAACCTGATCTGTAAATCCAGGAGTACCATCCAGTCTGGAGCACCATCTCCTATTATTAGAAACGACTAAATAATCAGTACATTGCAGGGTTCTGGGCAAAGTATGATACTTTAATGACGACATAGAAATAGTTGAATACCACAAGCTTAAATACTGTCCTCTGCATTAGATAAATCTTTTAAATGTGAAGAAACTATGTGGCATAGAATAAGTATGAGTCCAATAATACCTTGAATATAACAAATTAATATAAACTACCTTATTGTTCTTTCGTCTGGTAAACAATTTTCAAAGGTCTCTCTAACAAATCTGAAAAAATTTATATAAATTTTAGGTTGTAAACATCAAACTAAACACATTCATTTGATTCCAATATTCAATTTTACTTTTCATCATCCCCCCCCCTCCCTTTACAAAATTGATGGGGGGGGGGGGGGGGGGTCCAAAAATCGTTCTTTGGACGGACGCAAAAAAACGTCCAGACAAGCAAAATATATATGTAAATAGAATAGATTATAGATTTTTTTTACCTGTACGCCTGCGCTGAAAATAAGTGCAGAGTTAGTGCAAACGATCTTAAGGCTGGATGATAGGTCCTCTAATATGATGTCCCAGGTTCTGTATCTCGACCTAATGGGACTGGTCGCGCGACGTCGCTGGTTTCTAGGG